ATAAGTGTGTTTGGTTTGACTATTAAGAGCAATTGATAGCTATAAATGTTAATTGATATTTGATAGAATAACTAATATTTATTATTTAACTATTTAAAATTAGATTATAAACTAATATTTTCAAGAACCTTAACTAACTATACACTAATAAATTTAAACAAATTAAATATATCATAATATTTTGTGTAACCTTACAATCATTTGTGTGTCCATGGCCATATTTTAGAGTCTTGTTCTTTGTTATCCATATCCAAGTTGTAAGCCAAGGTTTTTGCTCTTTGCTGTCCACATCAATGCTGTAAGTTAAGGTCTTTGCCATCTATAATACAAGCAATGTTTCCTTGGGTATTAAAATGAGAGGTCACAATTTGCAGGCATAACCCCAAATCTATCCTTACAAAAGATCGGCAGGGACAGATCTACCCCTCACAAAAATTGAGGAACAAATTATCCTTCCAAATCATATATCAAGACAAATTACTCATTTTTTAACATTTTCCATTAAAAAATGCTGATGTGGCAAACAAAATTCTAACGTTTTTCATTAAAAAATGGGTGATTTGTTTTGATTTATGATTTAGAGAGGCAATTTGTCCCTTCATTTTTGTGAGGGGTGGATCTATCTCTGTTGATCTTTTTTAAGGGTGGATTTGGAGGTTTTGCCACAGTTTTTTAATTTGACTTTTAACTGCATATTTTATAACAATTAATAAAACAAAGATCACCATAATATTAAAAATTTTATTTTTAATTAATAATTATAAAATATATCATTCATTTACTTTTTTGTTACAATAAGCTGTCAAAATATGAGTAGTTAAAATAAAAAAATTTTAGAACAATTTATGGTAGTTCCTTCATTGTAGCCCCGAACCGAAAGGAAAAATAAAAACTTATATAACTTACAGTTTGATTATGGATTAGCTCTTATCACAACCAAACAAACCCTAAAAATATTTGTTCTTTAATCTTTATGCATGTAATGAGTGAGGTTTCAGAGTTTCTTTTGAGTGTCTCCCACATTGGTTCTACTGTTTATTTTCAGGTTTAAAAAAAAAAATACCCTTCTCCAAAGTATC